TGAACTGATCATGGGGTTCTCAATAGAGGAGTTAGAGTGAAGACTGAAGGAGCTGAAAGGATTTATGGCACCATGAGGAGAGCAACAATACCAACCAACCACAGCTCCCAGGGTCTAAACCACCAGCCTGGGAGCACTTAGGGGGGGATCCAGGGCTTCAGCTGAATATGTAAAAGTGGAGGGCCCTGCTGGGCATAGGTGGAAGAAGAGAACCTTGACCTCATGAAGGCTGGATGCCCCAGGGGGTGGGAATTTTGAGGGTGGGGAGGTGGGAGTGGGGGGGTAGATAGAGGTTACATCCACAGAGAAGAAGGAGGAGGGGTGAGGGGATTGGGGGTTCCGAGGGGGTGGTGGGGGATGGGGTAAGGGGACAACATAGGAAATGTAAATAAATCATCCAATAAAAAAAAAAAAAAGAACTGCCTAAAATGTCAAGGCTCAGTAGAAAAAATATACATGCATACTGGGCTCTGCATCACGGCTGCAGTGGCGGCAACTATGAGAACATCAGCCACTGGGGTGCATACCCACATGATGCAGACACAGGTTTAGCAGGAGGAAGGGGAGGGGGGAGGAGGAGGAAGAGAAAGAGGAGAAGGAGGAGGAGGGAGAGGAGCAGCAGCAGCTCCATGGTTTGCTCTAGTTGCAACCCTGAGGGACTCAGGAAGGCATTAATTAAACTGCCAGCAAAGGGTTGTTTTTGTTTCTCCTTCTCCTGCCTCTAGGGTCTCCTAATGTTTCTAAGGCTGGCCTTGAACTCATGATAATTGTGCTTCAGACTTCTGAATGCTGAGATCCCCGGTTTGTACCACTACATTAGGAAGCAAAATGGTCTTCCTTCCTTCCTTCCTTTCCTTCCTTCCTTCCTTCCTTCCTTCCTCCCTCCCTCCCTCTCTTCCTTCTTTCCTTCCTCCCTTTGTTCGATTTTATTTCTCTTCATCAACAGCTGTCTGCAGAGCAGGTCCATGACTAGCTGGCAGCAGCAATTTCCACTGGAGCTCCAGTCACAGGCTCTTGTGAGAATCTCAGAGCATGCAGCAGTTGTTACGCCTGTGCAGTGAGAGTCTGGACAGGAGGGAGGGAGTTAGGGCCCAAAGCTGACTTCGGTTCAGTCACCACTCTACATCAGACTACAGAATTGAGGGGACGGGAACCTAACTTGGTAGAGTGCCCTTTAAGGACAGAGATGAACTATCAGAAACCTGACCAGAAGCTATGTACATATGCAAGGTATAACTCACAAGCAAAGGTGTCCATCTAGAAGCCATTCCTTACTCCTAACTCAGCCCTCGGACCCTGCAGACAGGGTTACAGAGCCCTGGTGGGAGCCTGGCAGTTCTCACCTGGGAACAATGATTAGCCTGAGAAGTGAGGTTTAAAGGTTCTGATGAGAGAAAGCTCTCAAGAACAAGAATGTCATAGAGAAACAGCAGGGAAGAAGTAATCTCCTCAGATTCAACACCAATGAATACTCATCCTTAGCGCAAAAGTGACCAATGGCAACCAAGGTGCAGGAAAACATGACATTTCACAAGTAAAGGATGAAGAGACCAGCAATCCTAGAGAGAAATGGAAGAACAAAACATTTTCGGGGCGCAAAGATGGCTCAGTGGGCGAGCATCTGAGTTTAGAATCTCAGAAGACAAAGGAAGCTGGGCTCAGTAGTGAAAGTCTGTAAGCCCAGTGTCCCTGTGGTGGGGTGGCAGGAAAGGCAGGAGAGGCAGGAGAGAAGGAGAGGAGGAGAGGCAGGCGAGGCAGGAGAAGCAGAGTAAGGCTGTGGGTCAGGTGGCCTGTCATGCTCAGTGGTGAACAAAAGCAGAACCAACCCCTGAGACGTTGACTCTGGCACACACGTACCCACTGTCATATATATACATGCACACAAACATATGAATACAAAAGAGAAAAATATTTTTATACTTAAGAAATTAAAATATCTAAAAAATTTATCTCAAAATATCTAGAAAAGGAAACTATAAGTAGTCTCAACATAAAGAAATGATTCATGTTAGAGAATATATGATCTCTAAACATATACTCCTCTCCCTCCATTTGTGTGTGTATATTTGCATGTATGGACACACCTGAACACATGTATGTGAGGGCTTTAGGTTGTTACAGGAAAATCAACCTTGATCACTGCCTTAGTTCTTTTTCTATTGCTGTGAGAAGACTCCATGGCCAAGCTAAAGTGTTTAATTTGGGTCTTATGGTTTCAGTTGATTAAGGCCCATGAGCTTCATGGCAGGAAAGGCACTGGAGCAGTGGCTGATAGCTCACCTTTTAAGACACGACCACAGGTGCAGAGGAAGGGGGGTAGGAGGAAAGACTGTCACTGTGAACTGATGTTAAGTCTTTTGAGACCTTAAGCCTGCTCTCAGTGTCCTCAGTGTCCTTCAACAAGGCCACACCTCCTCGTACTTCCCCCAACAGTCCTATTGACTGGGGACCAAGTGTTGCATTCAAATATTTGATCCTTCAGAGGCCATTCTCATTCAAACCACCTCATTTTCACTTATTCATTGAGGCATAGTAGCTGAACCAAACCCAGAGCTCATGAATATGTCTAATCTCTCTGGCTACCTTACTCTAGGGAATCTCCTCTCTTTGACTTCCAAGACTGGACTTACAGATGGGCTGCTATGCTCACCTGGCATTCACGTACACAGACTGAAATACCACTCTATTATAAAGTACATTATGCATTCATTAAAAAGTGTTCTCATATCACCTATGCTCCAGAAAACTACTCTAGTATATATGCTCTACCCACAGCAGAGAACAGCAGGCGGAGAGCACAGGAAGCAGCTAGAGAACAGAGAAGAAATTCCCACAAGGCCATGCCAGCTGCTCAGAAGCACCAGCATAGGGTGGGGCAGCAGGCAGAGTGCTTGCTGCTTGACCATTCTGACATTCTGAGGGCAGTGTCTGCCTCTGCCAGGAAGTCTGGAGCAGCGTTAGTGGGCACACATTTGCAATAGTCACTGAGAAAGGTTCAAATCTGCAGTATAACTGCAGTATGAACAAGGAACAAATAACCCAAGAGAAAACTGCCAAGAGTTTTGAGCAGTCCTGGCTCTCTGTGTAGCCCTGGAGCTCACTGTAGAGCATGCTGTCAGTCTCTGCTCCCCAGTGCTGGGGAGTGAAGGTGTGCACCACCACACCCAGCCTGGCAAGAGGTGTAAGCAGAGCTTCAGAAAACTCTATGAGATGTGCCTATGCTCAATAGCAATCAAGGAATTACAAGGTAGTATTATAATGCCATCCATTAAAGGATGGGTGAAACTTAGATGCAGAGCCACAGAGTTGAAATGGCAGCGCCCCATGGTAAGCTCTGTGGTGTGCTACATTTCACGGGGCAATTCCACCAGGGTCAGATGCTGAATGCTGGGGCCCAGCTGGTTATGCTATCCTGGGAGGCCTGTATAAACTTTAGGAGGTGGGCCAGCTTCTAGAGGCTGAGCCTGGTCCTTAGTTCTTTCTTTATTCTCTGCTTCCTGTTCACCATGTGGCACTGTCTCCTCCTCCACAGGTTCAGTGAGGTTGAGGACTAAGATATTTTGCTTCTTTTATGGTTCTCTCAGGCATCTTAGTCATAGTGACAGAAAGGTAAGTAATAAAGACAGACACTGTAGAGGAAACCATGCGCATGTACACCCTTAGTTATCTATCCATGTGTTTTAGGACAAGTTAACTTCTTTAGTCTTCCTAAAGATACTCTGTGAGTCATACTAGCTACTTAAATATTTATGGACCCCAGTGAACTAGAAATCACTAATACAGCAATAAATAACCCGGAAAAATCATTTTGGGAAAGGACAGGAGGTAGAATTTCAGACACATAAAATGTTTAAGCATGCTAGAGAAAGTGAAATAGTGATGAAATACCAGATTTGCACTATAAAAAACCCTCAAGGCAACAAACACTTAAGTGTCCCATAGGTTACCTGTGGACACATATGACAATACACAGATATAGAAACTGTATCATATTTCTAGAAAGCAATTTGGCAGCCTGTTCTGAATCTTGAAAATATAGATATCCTCTTATAGTGTCATTCAGTAAAGCTCCAGTTTTAAATCAACACCAGAAGATAAACGAGGCATAGTGGCGTCCACCTGTGACCTAGGATGAAGAGGTAGATGGAGCCAGACACGTCTCCATCAGGCAGGGAGCCAGAGCCTCCAATAACAAGCAAACAAAAGGAGCCCCCAAATTATAATCTGAAATGTGAGATAATTTATTTACAAACTGCTCATTAGTTAGAAATTGATAAGAAACACTGGAAATAACCAAAGTGTCCAATAATGTAATAATGGTTAAATATATTTTAGGACATCTACAATATAGGCCAGATAAGTATGGAAATTGGAGATATTTTCCGGGCAGTGATGGCGCATGCCTTTAATCCCAGCTCTTGGGAGGCAGAGGCAGGTAGATGTTTGTGAGTTTGAGGCCATGGCCAGCTTGGACTACAGTGCTAGTTCAGGACAACCAGAGAAAACCCTGTCTTGAAAAAGAGAAAAAAAAAAGATATTCAAAGAGTTGACAGTATCATAGAAAATCTTAATGAGATAAATGTCCAGTAGGGCAGAATATAGTATTGTATTAAAGAAACATGAACTTTTTATTAACACACACACACACACACACACACACACACACACACACACACAGAGAATACTACTGAGAAAAACACACAATCAGATAGAATACAGCTGTTAGTGCAAAGCAAGGGTGCATACAATCCATGCCCAAAGAGATTCACTGTTGGTAGACAGTTCTTAGCAGTTTGCTAGACTGAACGTTCTCACTTTTAGCACTTAAAAAGGAATCATGCTGGGTGTGGTGCCCATACCTACAAATCCCAGTGCTTTAGAGGATGGGGCAAGAGGATGATGAGTATAGTTTGAGTCTGAAGACAACTTGGACTATGCAATGGCTGATGTCACAAGTGAGTAAGAAGAGAACAGAGACTAACCGCTCCATGCACACTCACCAGGTCAATGTTTTGCATTATGTCTTGGAATGAGGGATGAGTTCGGAATTGTTCAAAGAGGTCCCGTTTGTAAAGCAAGGCGTATACCAAGTTTGGGTTGTGGTGCAGAGAATTCGTCAGGCAGGAGTTGATGATCTCCAGCATCATCCGAATCACTTCTTCAATGACACTGAGGTCCTGGGCCTTGTGGAGAAAGGAAATCCCAACAAGCAGTCAGTGTTCTGTTCCCTGCCACACAAGTAACTGAAATACAAGTGACAGTGATAATTTCAATAGCACTGGAAAGAATACACAGGTATGTCCTTCAAGATTTTGTCAACAATTTTAGAGCTAGGTTCATCTGTTACTAAGAGATGGGAGTTAAAATGGTATTAACTTAGTCTGGGATAACTAGAATTTCATATACTAAGTTAGATACGAGCCAATACAGAGGAAGCTCTGCAGCCCACTTAGCTCCCACTTCCAGATCCTGATTGGTCTTCCCTGCCTAAATCATTAGACTGCCACAGCATGGCCAGTCCTGAAGTCTGACCTACTCCAAGAAAGTGTTCACGTCAGGACACGACCCCGTGTTCTACACCGACATCTCCATGTCATATTTACAGATACATTAGCCTGTGTTTTGTCACTGCCTGCTCAGAGTTCACAGTTGTGATGGCTCATCCATCATCAGTCTGACTGGATATGTCTTTGAAGGAGTTTCCAGAGAGGTTTAACAGAGGTTTACTCCTGAACGTGGGTGGCAGCATCCCACGGGCTGGGCCAGAGACTGAGTAAAAAGGGAAACGGAGCTGAGTCCCAGCATCTTTGCTCCCCAGCTGAGGCTCCAATGTGACATGTCACCTTGTGTTCTACCATCCTGCTTTCCCATATGATGGACTGTGTTCCTCTGAGCTGTGAGCCAAACTCTTTTCCCTAGACTGCTTTTTGTTTTGTTTTGTGGGGAGATGCTCAGGAATTTGTGATGAGAACAGTAATTAAGACAACAAGTCTTTTGCATTCTGAATGTGAAATGACTGTAAGGCAGAAACTCAAAGTAAGCAAGCGAGGCTTTTGCTGAGCCATCTGCCTAGTTCTTACCAGCAGGGAGGGAGTCTAGGTGTGTGTGTGTGTGTGTGTGTGTGTGTTGCCTTCTCTGAGGCTCTCCAGTGCTGTACCACCAACTGCTGACCTCCCAGGCCCCATGGCCTCTTCCCAGGCCCTGTGGGCAGCATTTCATTGGTCAATCTGTTTCATTCCCAAACTGCTCACTCAGTTTGGGGCTCATCAAGAAACACTGACTTCAGTCTTGGCCATAGCTGTGTACTTTAAATGCCTTCATGTTATAAGCATCTCTGAGTTTATGTTTTCAGAGCCAAGCAGGAGGTCAACTTCCAGCTTCGTAAATTACAACACCACTTGTCAGAATGTCCATTCATCTGCCCTGCTTTCTTTCTTAGAGGAGGAATGAGTTTCAGGATTTTCTGAGGTCATTTTAGAAAAGCCTAACCATGCCAAGATGCCAAATTTCATTCTAATGAATATTTAACACATCAACTTAGTTAAGTGTAGATCCTGATATATTAAATTCACATTTCCAAGATTAACTATGTGCTGATAGCTTAGCTTATTCCCAATGTTTAAGTAATTTCCCCCAACAACCAGGACTTGCTCATTTAATCTCAAGCTAAAACACCAGTCAGGGAAGTGTAAAGTAGAAACTTTAATACTTCAAAATCAATAAGCATGCCCTACATTAGCTTTTTTTTTTTTTAAAGACAGGGTTTCAGGTAGCCCAGGGTGGCCTTGAATTCACTATGTCATGAGGCTGGTTTTACCTCTCTGCCTCCTTTTCTCAGATGCTGGGCCTACAAGCATGCATCACTATGCAGGTATGTGTCAGTGGTTACTCTGCCTCAATCTGGCAAAAGGATTTTTCAGTTATGTGAACTTTCTCACATTTAAAGGAGGTACTAGGTATTCTATTTAATTTCTCTGATACTGTTTCTCTGATACCCCCCCTCCCCCATTTTTTTTTCTTGAGACAGGGTATCTCTATTACATAGTCTTGGCTGGCCTGGGACTTTCAGAGAGCCACTTGTCTCTGCCTCTCAAGTGCTAGGATTAAAGGAATATACTACCACTCTGATAAATTCTAATGCTACCCTTTAATGTGTTACCACACTATTACAGTTTAGATGCAGATGTTTAAATTAAATGGCAAGAAAATACAGTTTCTATCATTATTTTTATTATTAACTAGAAATATAGTTTAGGGAAACAAAGGAAGGATATTTCACATGATGTCAAACTTACTGAAATGTAAGGCAGTTTTGGTATTTTAATGTTGTGAACTGATTAGGAAACAAAAATGAGAAATTATATATAATTTAGAAGTTCAAGCTTAGAACAAGTCACAGACTATAATAACTTCCTATCACCATCTCTTTTACCATAGAACATTGTAAATAATTTACATTACTAACATTTGAATATAAAGTTGACTCTAAAAACCACAGCACATAAGTTCAGCTGTTTTCTTGATCATACCCCGAGTGAGATTCTAAATGCGTAACTCATGTGTACCTAAGTCTGTCCTACCTGAGGACACAGGGTGTGCAGCTTAGGCAGCTCCCAGGCTGCACAGCTGGATCCCAGGTACAGTTATTCCCACCAGGGTTCTCTCTAATCCCCCCCACCCCGCCCAGAAAGACTGAGGTCACCTTGAAGTCAGGCACCTACATGGATCGGTTTTAATTATGTCCCTAGAATTGTACCAAGAATTTCCATATACATCATTTTATTCAATGTAGTGACTGTTTAGCATAGTCATGAGTCAGGAAGCCTATCGTGTGATCCTAAACTGTGTTCTGAAGCTGCTGGACAGCAAGGCTGCTGGCTGCCATACTGCCAGACTCCCTCCCTCCCTCCCTTCCTCAGGCTTACCCCAGTGATCAACCAATCTATTCTGGAATACACAGCACACAGTTCTAGTATTCAGTTCATCTCCATTTTATGTGGCGGCAGTTCTTTGCTAACCACTTTGATTATCCTCTGAGAAGCAGCCGGAGTTCCTACTGTGTTGTTTCCTAGAAACTACTCTGTGGGTCTGCACATCCCTGCTGGAGGATCAACTGCAGCTTCCAGGCACCAAGCAGATCACGAGATAATCAGGGTAAATTACATGCCAGGGGAATTCAGATTTGCTAAAAACAAGAGTATCAAACTTTTGGTTAATTCTAATTTCCAAGAAACACTACCCCAGTAAATACGTTCTGCAATTTCCTTTGAGTCACCAAGTTGCCACTCTGACTGGCTTCTGGGGCAGGTGCCCATAACACATGACAAGAGATCAATAAAATTCATCTTGTTTCATTTCTAGAAGAGTATTATTAGGCAATAATCATTAGTTAGAAAAGGATAAAAAAAACCCTAGAATAAATTAATTGGAGCACTTCCTTTAATGACAGCACCATCCAAATCCCAGGACTTACTTTAGATCTGAAAGGTTATTTAATCATGCTAGTCCATGCGACTGACTTTTTAAAAATGGTGCTGGGGTTGAATTCCAGGGCTTGAGCATGCTCAGTATGAGTTGCTGACCTTGACTTAACCCCTCAGCCTCCTAGTAGATATTTTTTCCATGAAGTTCCGTTTCAGTAGCATTTGTAAGGACTTTAAAACTGCGCAACATAGGCTATAGTAGGGGCATTCCAGAAGTACACTGCTCTCCAAAGTGCGAACTTGTAGACTTTGAAGTACATAACAACAACAATGACAACAATAACAAACAACCACCACCACGACACATTTTTTACTTTAGCTATTATTACTACTGTGATAGTTTGTATATACTTGGCCCAGAAAGTGGCACTATTAGAAGGTGTGGCCTTTTTGGTGTAGGTGTGTCACTGTGATTGTGGCATTTAAGAACCTCCTCCTACTGGACAACGACAGAGGGACCGGAGCCATTACAAGGTCCCCTTCAATTACTGGAGGTCAGGCCTCTATCCCCACCTTCGCAAGTTTACAATTGCCACAGCCCTTCTATACTTAGAGAAGGGAGGAGATGTCAGGGGCAGCCCTGATTACACACTGATGGCCTAAAATCAGCCACAGGCCTAAAATCAGCAGTAGGCCTGTCATACATGTATACTAACACCAAGTCTTGGGTCTCAGTGGAAAAACATTGAAACAGATGGCTATAAGCTATTGTAAACAGGCAGTTTTTGTGACAATTTACCAGCCTGAGTAGTCATAGACCTTGTAAATAGGTAGCCTTGGCAGATATTACCAACTTAGATAAGGACAAGTGAATCATAGGCAGAGTCATAGTGACCTATTCCCTGAACCATCACCCAGTTCTGAAAAATATCTGTATTCCCCCTAAACACCCGTGCTCCAGTGTCATCCCCTTCCCGACATCTTGTCTTTCTGTGTTTACAACCCCTGTGTGAATGAGTACAAATTACAATTTGAAAAAAAAAATTATATAAACCAAAAACAAAAAAAACAAACAACAAACAAACAAACAAACAAAAAGAACCTCCTCCTAGCTGACTGAAAGCCAGTCTTCTGCTAGCAGCCTTCAGATGAAGATGTAGAACTCTCAGCTTCTCCTGCACCATGCCTGTCTGGATGCTGCCATGTTCCTGCGTCGATGATAATGGACTGAATCTCTGAACCTATAACCCCAATTTAGATGTTGTCCTTATAAGAGTTGCCTTGGTCATGATGCCTGTTCATAGCAGTAAAACCCTAAGACAACTACTAATGAAAAAAAAAAAAGCCAAAGAACTCAGAAATCATATTTCTTAGTCTTTTTTTCCAAGATAGGGTTTCTATGTGTGGTCCTAGCTATCCTGAAACTAAGTAACATGAAACTAATATTCTCATATTCTCATTCTCTCATATTCTCATTCTCTCTCTCTCTCTCTCTCTCTCTCTCTCTCTCTCTCTCTCTCTCTCTCCAGACCAAGCCTCAAACTCAAGAGTGTTGGGATTTAGATGTTTGTTGACTGCTAGCTCTACAGTTACCTCAGAAAGCAGCAAATGGCATCTTTGGTGAGACCACCTGAGAGAATCAAAGGAATTGGTTATATTTTAAAAGATATTACTTTTATAAAGCCTATTTTATTATACAGTGTAAATCAATTTTCTGTATAGTATTCCCTGAAGGATTGGTTAAAATGTAATGAAAGCAT